CATTGATGTGAACGGACTGGAGTGCCTAAAACTTTCAATTTCTGCAGGCTAAACAACTTAAAACTAAATGAAAAATGACAAAAATTGATAGAAACTTGATAGAAAGTGAAGTCCTGCTGTGAAAGCCTTGATTCCTTGGCTTTCGTTAAAATGTTTCTCGTGGGTGAAATTCAGTATTTCTATCTTTTGGCACCAGCAGGGAAGCAGGCTGGGGGTGGATGTTGTGCCTTGCTGCTGGGATAGAGTCCACCCACAAATCACCATTCAGAGGTTAATCACGCCTCAGCCTCCTCCACCTTTTAGCCCAGATTGCAGTTTTTTTTTTATTGTAAAATACATTACTTTCAAGCACTTCTTATAATTACTCACATATTCTAATGTAGCTTTATGTAATGAAAGGAAATGCTAGCAGCAGTAAGCCAGAAGAAGCAAGTTGCCAGCACTGCTGAGACTTAGAGTAAAACATCACAGGTTTTCCTAGGGACCTTCTTCCACTGATATTTAGAATAATTCTGGTTGTTGCTGAAGAAAGCTGTAGCTTCCTGGGGCAGATCCGTCATTAGACTTAGCCTGCTTCTTTCAGAGCTCGTTGTTGGATGGAGAGGCTGCGATTTGTTAGTTTTATTTAAGCCTGAATGTAATTATTTTTGGATGTTGTGAACAATTTTCCCTCGTTTTGCCTTTAGGGATGCCTCTTCATCCCAATGCTCAGCAGTGCAATATAGATGTGTTTCTGATGGTGTTCTTATAGATAGGGATAAGGCCGGAAAAATACGAGTGCCTGCAATTAGACAACCACAGTGTGAGCAAGCAGCAGCTCCTGCTGAAACCATTAACTTTGACAGATGCATAAATTGAGAATTAAGCAGACATTTTGAGAAAGATTTTGGTCTGCTGCTTTAAACAAGTTGTATTTATTGCTGGGCTGAGAAGTGCTCAGTGCCAAAACGTTGGCTGTGAATGTTGTGTATCTTGATGTGTATGAAACCTGGCATTTCCTGCAGCAATCCCTGGGCACTAAGGGCACTACTGGATTGGGATCCCCAGCAGCGCTTGCACAATAATATGATTTTTCACTGTGGTCTTGATTCTTTGGAGATCGACTCTGGAAAACTATTTCCTATGAAACATGAGGCTGCTGTTCTTTGGGTTTGGATGAGCTGTGGCAATTCACCTTCTGTGGAAGTTCAGTTCCTTTGGCTATCCTTATCCTCAGCAAACATGTTCAGCAATTCTGGGTGATAAAATATCCATTTTCTAAGCTTCTTTTGGTGTACTCTGCTGTGAATCAGCTTCTGTTTCAGAGCATTTACCATATCTCTACTTTTTCACGTATCTTCTGATAGAAGAGGGTACACAGGATTTCTGGCTATATGGGACCTTCTCTCTCTGAAGTGCTCTGGGATATCTGGAATTTGCAGAATACGCAGCTGGCTTTGAAGCAAATGGTGCTTTTATGGCACACTTTTTTCCCTTCCCTAGATTTCAGCAGTGCCTCAGCTCAGCCGGAGTTTCCTGGGATGTACTTACAAGGATGGATTTCCAGGTGGCACAAACAGACATCTCTCATTCAGATTTACACTCTCTCAGGAATGCTCTTCATTTCTTTGCTGGAATCTTTTTGCTTTTCAGAGTACATTTTTCTCTTTCACAGATCACTTTCTTATCAGTGTTGGCTTTTTCTTAACACTGCTTTCACTGATGCCAATCACAACAGCATTCCCCCACTGATAATTCCTATACTTAAATTCATGCTGTCATATTTTGTGCTAACAGAACAATGGCTCTGAAATTTAAAAAGAATTATGTTGCTCTAAGAAAATACAAAGTTAAAGACTGAGAGACAATAACGTGGCATTTTTTAGCTAGTTAGTTTCATCCTAGGCAACCTTCCTTCTTAACACCATGAGTCTGAAAGCCACTGCTCTTGGAAAGGGCTTGAAATGCAGCCTGCCTACAGCTGATTTAGGAAGCCCTGACCTTTCACTTGTCAGAGACTGAAAGAGAAGAGCAAGAAAGCATCCTGATATGCTTCTTCTTTGTTTCTATTCCTCTCCAGTCATCTGTGCCACACCACTGCTGCAATCCAGTCAACCCTTCAGCCTTGCATTTTGATGCTCAGCCAAGTCCTATTTCCATCTGAGGGGCTGCAGATCTGGACGCTGATGGTGATAAAAGAGATTTCTGACATGTACTTGCTAAGAACAACAAAAGAGAGTGATTCTTTCAGTAAAAAAAAAAGCTCCAATTAGTCTGCTCAACAGAGCAATTCTGGTAGGAAGAAGAAATAACTGCTGTGTTTGAAATACTTGGATGTCTTCAGGTCCACTTTGTCCTTGTGCTCACTTGTCACAATCTTACTTGTGCTCAGTTTTCCTTAATTTGGAAAATACATTATTTTCTGGAGGTTTCTGTCATCAGCACTCTGATAAACACTCTTTGCAGCATGTTGTCTTATCCTTGAAATTCTGTCCTTCTTGAGAAGTGCCCTTTGGTGTTCATTGTTTCTATTTGTTTATAACTTTCAAAAAAGATGCTGTTGATTTTTATGTGCACATTCTGTTTATTCATATTACACTTTTTATTGCTTTGGAAAGGACTTAGGGAGGACTGAAATATCAGATCTTTTCAAAAGCAGCTGCTTATTTTGTTTCCATTTCACCTGCAGACTGAACGCAGTCCTGTGTTTTCTCTGCCTGTGTCATGTTCATATTAAGAACTGCAGACATGCAGATATTACTCTGCTCTGATGCTTTCTGTAGGCGATATGTAGGTTACAAAGTAAGTTTTGAACACTTTTACTGCTGTTTCCGTGCAATAGGTAAACATGGATTTCAAGCACTGCTACTTAGTTCTCCCATGTGGAACAGTAAGCTGGTGATGCAGCTAGGAAAATGATTAACTCTCTCATTAAATAGCAATTCCTGATAGCAAGTTCTATAGAATCATAGAATCATCTGCGTTGGAAAAGATTTTTAAGATCATCAAGTACAACTGTCAACATGACATACAAAGTTCCAGCATTAAACATGTGCCTTAGTGCCAATAGTTCCTTAGAGCACATATCACAACAATCTGCATTTTTACGTTGCCTTTCCTCTAAGCCTTTCTATATGGTGAACAATACTTTAAACTTACATGTGAATTCATCTAATTTTTGTTCTGCTATTACTACAAACTGCACCCAGATTTGTAGTGGTTTATCCATATTTCCCATTCAGGTACTTTTGGGGAGAGGAAAGTTCATGCTCCTTTACATCTGTTGGAGGATTTGTTTTCCCAGAACAATACTATATACACTGAACATTTTTTTTTTCCCCATTTATTTTTATTTTCTTACGACTTTGTAGTAAGGTACAGATCTGTAAGACTGTATGAACATTTTAGATCTCCCATAAGCCTTGGTTTAAGTGCCACCCAGAAGATGGAACTTAAGAAAGGCAGATTTGGAAAGGCTCCAAACTATAATCAAGTCTGGCATGGATTCTTTGGTCTCAGTAGCATCCCATGACCCCCATTAAATTAAATCATTTTCCAAGGAACCTGAGAATGGCTGGAACATGGCTCTGCTATTTGAAAAGGATTACTACTGCTAAGTCAGTAGTGGACTCTTATTTATTCTTTCATTAAAAGTGATGAACCTCTCTCTACAAAAAAGTTTTGGAGGTGATCTGAATCTCTGTTGGAGGTTTTCCTGGAGGGGTTGGCTAAAATTGTTATTAATGATCTTCATACCAATTTCCCATAATCACTGACAGCCATTTTGGCTTTGTTCTCACTCACAAAATATACAACTGACCAACTTTGTCACCAGGAGAGCAGGTTCTGACCCAGAACCTCTTGAAAGCTGGTAAAAATGCAACCAGCACTATCCCAAGTGTTGCCTGAGCCATAGGATTGGCTCTCGTTCAGAGAGGAAAATAGAGCAATTACCACATAGACTGAGAGCTGGCAAAGCACTGGCTTTCAGTGGAACTGACTTTAATGCCTCCAACTGAGGTAATGAGCTTTTGTTGATAACAAAGGCTGACCTGAACCTACATTTAAACCTAAGTATTACTTTGCATTTTCATATGCTACTGCAATTACTGATTCTAATGGGAAATGATTCTGGAACTTCAAACAGAATATTAGAAAAATTTAAGGGACTTTTGGAAGAACTAGCATAAAGATGTAAAGGAACGTTTATTTAAAAAACATTTTTCTATGGTATTTAAGGCCCAGCTGCACGCGTCATAGAACTTATGTAAACATATGACATGGTCATGCTGTTCTTTAAGACCTAATTTCAATTTTTTAAAAAGTGCTTTTTGTCTTTGAATAACCTTTGGATAACTTATTTTTATTTCTTGTCATTTCAGCAATGAAATAAAGTTTTTATATTGTCTAAATGGCTCGCACTTCAGAATATTTGAAAAAGTCTCAGAAATGAAACGTGAGAAGAATGAATCTTGCTTTCTCATCACAGTCAGCAGTCTCCTTTTCTATTCAGACTTGGCTTCTACTTGATTGTCTGCGTATACTGTCAGAGATAATACAGAGGGTAGGGTTGTCAAAGTACATTCTTTTTAATGCTTGGAGTTTAAATCTGAGCCTCTAAATGATGTGGCAACAAGACTGTCCGCTGTGATTGAAAATGTGCAGAGAGGTACCAATAGAGGAAAGGACAGCTTACAGGCAAATCAGCAACTCCCAGCACACTCAGAGATATCCTCTAAAGAGTTCAAAGTGCTTCCTCCAGTGCACATCTTCTAAGCCATTGCCTGTGCTGGGAGGGCAGCAGAGGACAGTGATGTACATACATCTGTGTGTGGCCTTGAGCCAAGAAAGCACTTAAATGTGAACAAGTCCATCGGTACTCAGGTAAGCACTTAAGTCCATACTTAATATACCTTAGCACATGACAACATATTAATTCACAACTGCTACTTAACACCAAAGCAATATAATTAACTTATATAGGTTCATGCACGTAGAAAATCATAAAGATGAAAACCCACCATATTCAGGGACCTGGCCTGTTCCACGTTTCAACAACAGTCGCACTCTCCTGCCACCAGACTTGATTAGCTCTATTGCTCTGGCATGTGTCATGTCCCTTGTGCTTTCTCCATTGATTTCAATTATTTGATCCCCTACCTGTCAGGTAAGAAGAACATTGAGTCAGACAGAATTGCAGGAAAATGAGCGTTTCAGGAAGAGACATATTCAATGGATCACAGGTTACTTGAATGACAGACAGACGCATCAAGGCAAATTTGTTCCTGTCTGTCTGAAGGATATCACTGGCAGATTAAATAACCTCCAAGATGGATTCTGAATGGGATGTATCAAATGCTGCTCATCTGTTACTGAAATCAGAGTATGTGTTTGTAACCTGTCTTGTGCCTTATATACGAAAGAAGTTTTCTGAATTGCTTGGTATGTTGGAACAACTGGAAGCATGTTACCATGCTACGGTTCACCCTGTGGTGTTGTACAGGGTGAGAACACCACTGCTGCATGGAATTGGCTGTTTTCACAGAGAAAAGAAAGCATTGGAGTACAAACACTGAGATCTACCATTTGACCATCCAAATCTTGGCGGCAAGGCTTCACACCAAATTTAGTGTTGCAGACTAAAGAAGGAAAGGCAAGTTGCTGCAGCAGCCACTACCAAGATCAAGCACGTGTGCTGGATTCTCAGGAGTGTGATCTGCACGAGTAACCCACAGGTGGTTTTCACTGGGGTGTCCTGAGCAGTGATCCCCACAGCTCTGATTACAGATTTCTGTTGCTGCTCCCCTGGCGGCTTTGCAGTCATTCAGCCTCCTTAGTACTTTTCTGCCTCTATCTCTCTAGCTACAAAGCAGGGCACTGCTGTCTGTGTCTCCCTCCTTGAACTCCCTCGGATATTGCCTTGTTCTGGTTGTGCCCTTCACTCACAGAGAAACCAGCTTTGGGTGCAGGAAACCTCCGCACTGAGCAGCAGAGTGCTCACTTCTCATGGTCAGCACGGCAGGCAGCACACAGAGCAGGCAGTAGCTCTATTGCAGCTTGGTGCAGTACCACGGCCACACACTAACTCTGTGGGACGGTCCAGTGAGCAGCACGGCAAGGTGACAGCCCTGTATGAGCAGCACTGCAGCTTCCAAAGGTGAAGTTTTGCAGCTGCATTGCAGATGCGCTGTTAGAAGGAACACCTGGATGGAGATCCTCGTGTCGGTAGAGGTGCGCGTCCAGGAGGCGGACTGCTGAGAGCTGCGTGAGGGCCTGAGCTGGGTGGGCTCAGCAAATTCATTTATCAGTACTACGAGAGCACAGCTGCTTGGCAGGGGGTCACGCTTGCCTCGGTCTGCATCTGTGCATTTCTCACTGTGGGGAGCTGTGCACACCCAACACACTGAAATAACAATGCTGCGTACACCCAAGAGAGGGTTTTAAAGAGACTATAGAGACCTCTGGATGATGAATGCTTCCTTTTCCTCTTACAAGCTTCTGTTGACAAAACCAGCTCTTTGCTGGCCTTGGACATTGGAATGCTTTCTGTTTCTTATGCTTTCTTTGCTACTATTGTATTTCTGACAACTGAAAGTGTAATCCTCCGGAGGCTTTCTTTCCTTCCTGAATCTGCAATACAGTATTTACCAAATAAACTTGCATAATATGAAATGTCAACAAGACTGCTTGCATCAAAGAAAACTGGAAGGGATGTCAAGAAGTCATCTAGTCCCTACTTCTGTTCAGAGACAGCAAGAATGCTACTAAAAGCACTATGCCAGTGTTTCTCAATAGGAATTCATACCTTGTCAATAGGAGTTGCAGTCTATTTTAAGAACTCTTCCAGGGTACTGCATGCAATCTCCACCACTACTTTATTTAACTAAAAAGCCATTGATTCAAATAAAACCTCAGAGCCTTGCTATTTTGTTTGGTATTTGCTGCAGACTGAGCAGTGGAGGAAAAATTCAGGATTATTTGATGCCAAAAGGCCATATTTTTTGCAGTGCAAATTTCTTTCTTAGAGGATTTTCTCTGTTAGGAGTTACGGATGTAGCAAGCAGTATGGATTTTTAGGTACTTCTGCCGACATCCAGCAGTGACACACAGCAGTTGTGCTCCTGGGATCACGCAGTGGTTGGCCATGAAGGTCTCTGGTGTCACCCTGAATTTTGCAGGCCAGTTGGATGTAGCTGCTTCACGTGCTCAGAGCAAGACCAGAAAATCCCTCTTACCACTTACATCACACAAAGACTAAACATAGATTTATAGCACTCTCCCCACAAGGAAGGACAAATGCAGACGAAATTCCACCAGCTTGAGAAAGCCTGCTTCCAAATGCCACGAAATAACAAAATCCTCATAGAAATCCTGTGAAAGTCAGGCTGCACTTTCCAAAGGTTTGGGAACAGTTCTTTTTTTGTGCTGTGCTGCCTGCATATACCACGTTTTGCAGAAGATATTTAGAATGATCCTGTTAGTGTGTTTTGAGAAAAGAAGTGCCAGATTAGATCAAATGAAGGAGTTGTTTTTAGCACTCCTTGATAAATAGCCTTCAAAATGAGAAACAGTGAATGTTGTTCAGAGAACACACAGTCATTCAAATAAAATCCCCTGCACCTCAGAGCAGAAAGACAAAAAGAGATTTTAATACAGTTTAATATGTAAAAAGGTTATGTTAATGCCACATTTTCCCTTGCTGTTTGCCTTTCTTCTGTTCTCACTGGTCAATGTACAGGAACTACTTTGTATTAGTGTAACCTTTTCTGTATTTCAGTAGGTTGTTTTTTATGCGAGTATCTGATCTGATAGTTCCTCTTTTTAATAACAAAATCATATGTGCAAATAACCTTGGAAAGCTTATAAAAAAAAAAGCCCCGCATCTTCAGTATGTGAGTGAAGGATAGTAAAGAAACAAGTTTGCAAAAATTGGGTACTCTGAAATTTCCATTACAAGGATTGAGACCAGAGGAAAAATAAATAGTGGCTGGAGCAGAGGGTTAATTGTTTTCCCTGCATTTGTGTCTTGTGGCTGACTGATGTGTAACTGAATTACGGCAGCTGTGCAGCACAGGTCCAGCTCAGATTAGATAAGAAAAACAACACAGAAGAGAAATGCTATGAACAGCCTTGCCCTGGGAAGAGCTTCAATTAGACTTCCTCATATCTGGGGAATTCAGACAAAAAGAAAATCTTGATTGAGAACTGGTTTCCTGTGCATCTAATAAAGTACAAATTCCTATTCTTACTTTTTTCTGAAGTTAACATTTATAACCTCTCCTTTCTTCCCCCTGCCCGTATGGATTCTCTGATACAAGGCCTTCACGCCACACGCCTTCTCTCAGTCCAGGCATTCAGAAGTGCTTTCTCCTCTACTCTGCTCAGAAAGCAAAAAGCTTGTCATAAAACAAACCTTTCTCTCATGACCCTTGACAGATGCTGCTGGTGTAGATCATTCATTCGGGAGAGAGACAGACCTAAAATTTTGTTCTGGGGATATTTCTGCCTTTTCAAGATCCAGTGATTATTGAAGAGGATCTTGGATATACCAAGGTGAGGCCAGAGGTAAGGCTAAGATGAGGGTGAGCAGGTCTAGAAAATCTGTCTTACAGTGAACCCTCACTGCTCTCCTTTCAGGATCAAAAGCTAGTTCCCACAGCTTTATCCCCGTGATCTTTTTTAGGTAATTCTCCTTTGGGTACTTCCAAGTTCATACACAATCCCCAAACTGGAGTTACTACTAAGCTGGGGGCAGGCAGAATTGATCAAAATGATAAAATTCTTCCCACGTGGGAGAAGCATTCTGGTTAATAATGCTTCCATAATGAGATTTTTGCATTTTTGTAGCACATCAGATTTGTGACTCATGGTTAGCTTAGATTCCAAATTTATCCCCTCAAGTCTTATTCCCTATTTTAAATAATGAATCTGATTTCTCTGCCCTAGCAGAAGCACAGCGCGTTTCATACTGACTACTTCAGTACAAAAAGTTAATTCTGAAATCTAACTCAAAGTCTTTTTAAGCTCTCTTTGACTAAGAACCTCTTGGCATCAATGAATTTTGCTATTTAGCAATAAGTCTCCAGTTATTAAAGAATTTGTTGAATTGAGCTTATTTGGTTACAGACCCCTCAGAAGTACACTTGTAATTCAGGAGCAAACCACTCAGGGTGTCCTTTGAGAGTGATTATTTTCAGTAACTACCTGACAGTGACTCCACCTAGGTGCTATTTTTCCATCCCATTTCTATGAATTTCCTATAAGGGAGTGCTGAAAGGTGAAAAGAAGATGCCTCATACCTTCTTCCCATTTTCGCACAAAGAAATAAAAATGAAAATAAGAAATGAAAATCAGACTGATCTGACAAGGTTTATTTTTTGCAATTTTTGTTTACATTCTTTTTCAACTTTTTGATAACTTGTCACAGATTTTTTCTGAAAATGAAAGTTAAAGGAACTTTTGCTATCCTATTTTAGATGTAGAGGACATGTTTTCCTTTCTTGAGTCTGCCACTAACTTCCTTGTCTTCCATGAGTTCTTGGAGAACGAATCACAAATAGTGTAGAAATTATTTTCTTTAAGTCATTGAGCATACACAAACATCAGCAAGTTCAGCTGACTTTAATCTCAAAATTCTTTAAGCATCTTTTTCCTTACTCTACGTCTACTTATTTGTTTTTGTTGAAATGTGTACTGTTGAAAAGATGATCTTTCTGAACATTTTGATGAAGATTGATAGGAAGAAAACACTGAATACTTCAGGCTTTTACACATTCTCAGTGAGTGATGGATCTGTACTTTCCTTCTCTTCGTATTTATTTTAATATATTTCCGTTACCTTCTTACCTTTTATGCTTTCCTTGCAGACTGTTTGGATATCCATCTGACTCACTTAAACTTCCTTCTGCATTTAATAGGACACCAGCCACCTAACAGGAGTTGTAGCATCATGGTTTGAGTGTCTGAATTGTTTATTGGGTATGACCCTATGACATTAGCTCCTTTCATTGCATGTGGCACATTTGAATATCAGACCATTATTTTTAAGAGGAATTTCAGCACGATGCTTTCTGTAGAGATACAAAGCTTTTAACATGAGACACCCAGATGTTCTGAAAGATAAGCTTCAATGTAGCAGCATTATCATTTTGCAAGGTGTT